TTTTTTTTTTTTTTTTTTGTACCAGGGATTGAACTCAGGACCTTGTGCTTGTGAGGCAGGTGGCGGAACCACTGAGCTAAATCCCCAGCCCTATGTTTCCTTCATTCTTATCCCCTATCTCAGTAGATGCCAAATAAATGCTTTTGATTATTGATGATAAAAACTGGAGGTGACAGGTATGGAGGGGTTTGGTGTGGTAGGAAGAGTCCTAGGCTACGAATTAGGAGACCTGGGTTCTTTGTTTCCATCTGGCCACTTCGCCTCTCCTCTTCGGCCCTCAGTTTCCTCATTCATAAAGGGGTCGGATCAGTTACCAAGATTACAGCAACACTGAAGTGACTTGGTCTTAGGAGACCTGAATTTGTTGGTCTCAGTTCGCCACTGTTTCTCCTGTTCCCTGCTGTCCTCCCCTGTCCCATCTTATGCAGTTTGTACATTTGTCCTTTGAAGGCATTTGAATTGATGACCCTTCCCTACTTAGACTGTGTCTTGGATCGGTTGTAAGGCATTTGACCCGTGCTCAGCTTTGAAACCTCAGTGATGTCTGTTTATCATCATCACCCCGGGGGATGCTAAGCATCACGTCTGGGGTGAGGTAGAGGGCAGGGAGATGCCCAGGATAGAACTGCCCATAGGCTCCTGGGGAGACGTGCATTAAGGCTCATAAACAGCCCAAGTGACTTATGCTAAGTCACTGAATGCTTCTGGACCTTGGAGGGAGGAGAGAACACCAATCTGGGGCAGTCAGGGAAGAGTTTCTGCAGGTGGAGAGATGGGAATTCTATTCATTCCTTAAGGATGAGTCCACTGAGTTGTTTGTTCGGAGTCACACAGGGACAGACTGGGCTTAGCTGCTGGCATCACTGCACATGTGCTGCTGTGTTCTCTTGGTGGCATCTGTTGAGTATTTATGTGTCCTGGACTCCAAGCTAGGTGGGTCTGCGTATTTTGATCAGTCATATGAACTCAGAGAGGTGTCGCTAGATCTCTTACTCACATCAAGGAACTGGCCTCAGAGTAGTTAGCAAACTCTGTCCAGGCTTCTCAGCTGTTAATGGAGAGTTGGCCAATGGGCCTGTCTCCAGATTCAGTCTCTTCCTACAGCAGCGTGGTCTGCAGGGCCACCTCCTTGGCAACACACACACATATGGTGCATCACTGACTGCAGTTGCCTGCCCTACTTATCCCACTGCCCTGAGCTCTGTGTCACGTCCTTCCTCGCTGCCTTCCTGTTCTGCCTTCAGCCCTCAGAGCCAGGTTAATGAGCTCCTTGAGCTATCTGCAAAGCGGGGCTTGGGTCAATTCTTTTCTCTCTCTGAGGGGTGCTGCTGCTGGTGGTATGGGTGACTTCTGTAAACCAGTGAACAGTGGATATGCAGCTGGTCTGAACTCACTTCCAATTCCCTTACCCACTTTAATCTTGGCCAGGTTACTTAGCCACCCTATGCCTTGGTTTCCTTCCCTGTAATAAATGGAGTTGGGGACGTTTCTGTGTCTTTATGTCTTACTACCTTGTAATTCTAACACCTTAGGATTTTGTCTTCCTCACTCTTCTCTAAGCCTTTTCTCCCTAGTGATTCAGTTTCCTTCTCTCCTTTCCAGCCCCTCCCCCCATTTCTTACTGATTGCCCAGCATCAGGCTGGGAATCAGGTCTGCAGGCCAACAGGGTAACCACCCCTCCCTCTTGGCACATGGGAAGGGAATTCCTGAGACTTCCCACATGCTAGACTGTGGGCTCCAGGTTGCCTGGGTATCCCTACTTCCTGCCATGCAAGAGGAACCTGGCAGATCCAGGTGGGGAGAACAGGGGAGCTGGAGGAGTTTTATGGTTAGGCTCAGAGGCAATGGGATGAGGGACAGGTGCCTTTTCCTGCAGTTGGCTGTGCCTCACCTTTTCCCCAGCACCCCGCCTGTTGAGTCATAGGCCAGCACACACCTGAACCCTCACACCTGCCTGGCCACTGGTTCAAAGCAGGGGCCCTGAGTCTAGTGAGGTCATACATGTTGATCCTCCCAGAAGAGCAGTAGTGTCCAGCTGCCCTCGCCCTTCGACAGGCAGATCAGCCATGCAAAGGCCAAGTTGGATGCAGCCTGGGCACTGGGTCCCCAGAGAGGAGGTGAGTGGGTGGGTTCTTTGGATCCCTCCCTGTGGGTCCCTGGCAGCCTGGGTGTCTGGAGAGGAGGATGCTGGGGGTGGACTCCAGCTGGCAGGTGAGTGCTTGATGGCCCTGTGTTTTTCCCTAGGCAAAGGCCCCTTTGTGAAGAGCAGACCAGCCCACGGGCTGGCAGTAAGACACCTGAGTCTGCATGCTGAAGAAGATGGGTGAGGCGGTGGCCAGAGTTGCGAGGAAGGTCAATGAGACAGTGGAGAGCGGCTCCGACACGCTGGGTGAGTGCGGGCAGTCCTTTTCTGGCTGCTCCCTTGGTGGCTTTCGGTTGGTTCTGAAATGATATAGAAAGAGATGGAAGACTTGCCTTGCAAGCGTAAGGTCCCGAGTTCGATCTCCGGTACCCGCCCCCCCAAAAAAGAAAGAGATAGAAGAAACAACATCAGTGTGTGCCCTTGCGATGAGGACAAGTATTTCAATGCGACTTTTATTGCAATGGTGGCTACTGTGTAGTTTTTGTATTCTGGGCCCTAGCGTGACGGAGCCTGTCTGCCTGCCCTTGAACAGCGATGACAGGGTGTGTGTGCTGTTGGACCAACTGCAGTGCCAGGCTTTCCCTGGCCACGTCGGTACTTCCTAATTATCATCTTGTTGAATTGTCACAATTGCCCTGTGATGAATAGAACCTGCTAGGTGTGGCCGGCCTCAGCCTTCAGGGGATGGAAGGGTAAAGGCAGAGTGGGTTTTGGGGTTCACCCAGCCGAGAAGCCCCTTTATGTTGTACTGTTTCTCTGAATTGTGTCGTGTATGTCTTCTGCTTTGAATCAGTCATAATGTTTTAGCTCGGTGGTTATGTGGAGACTCTAAGCATAAGCAAAGCTCCCTGCTTGGTTGAGTGTAATAGCTGCCTGTGGAAGGGCGGCAGGGGAGACAGTGCAGCTCCCCGCGTGTGCCTGTGTGCAAAGGTGATGCACGTGTGTGTGTCTCATCCCTGGGACGTAAGCACCAACTGAGAGCCACAGATGTGTCATGGGGACCCAGAGGACAAGAGCACAGGCTCCCTTGGGGTTGATGGAGAGATGGACAGTTGGCCGGTGGCACATAGAGAGGAATCTCTTAGGCAGTTAGGGGTTTGTGTGTGTCTGACAGAGGAGTGTTTAGGTGATAGTTACTGCTGGAGCAGAGGCCCTGAGGCTGGGAAGGTAGAGCATTTCTGTGAGCAGCCACTCATCAGCTGCATCTAGACTACAGACTCCTGAGTCAGGGGCTAGTGGCTCAGGAAGCCGAGACACTTAGTCTTCAGGATAGGCTCAGTCACCACCTCTTCCAAGAAGCCCTCAGCCCTGTCCCATTCACCTCTTGCTCCCTTCCTCCTCTGTAGGGCCCACTCACTGTCCCCAGAGGACAAGGACTCTGTCATCTTTTGCCCCTTCCTCCCTGCCTCACTCCAGAGCCCAGGGTAGCGTCAGGTGCCACGTCTTAGCATACGGAGGTGTCAGCTACACTTAACCAAAGCGAGAAAGGCGTCTCCTCTGCCGGCGAATGGACTTGAAGACCGCTGCTGGTTTTGGAGGGCGTCTCGGCGATCCTCAGGCTGGTGAGCTGTTGGCTGTGGCCCTCAGTAAAAGATTCTGGATTCCTGCACTGGTCACAAATATGGCTGTGTTTACCTCAGTGTCCAGGGCTCTCTGCCATACTAATGCTGTGGTTGACAGGCCAGCTTTGGGTCATAGGGCCCTGGATGTGAGTCTCCACTCTGCCACCTCCTAGCCTGGTACCTAAGTACCTGACCATCTACAGATGAGGACAGTAATTGCATCTTGGATCGTCAGAGTGGTTAGGAGTAATTGTAATGACTAAGGTGCACAGCCTGCAGGGAGCTCTGTCAACAGCTATTATTTTCTATTTTTTCTCATCCCCAAAAGCTGGAGGTGGGGCCCAAATCCTCCATGGCTGAAACCTACCCCCTCCAGTTGTGGGCCAGCCAGGCCTCTGCTGGGCCTGCCACACAGTGGCTTCACTGGAAGTTCAGTATAAAGTGACAGATATGCATGGTGCATCACCTACTCTTCCTAAGATGTCACAGGGTGAAAGGAAATACATGGTTTCCTTTCATCCAGAAGGAGTAAGGGCAGAGGAGCAGCAGAGGAGTGGGGTAGGGAGCTCACCGGGGAGGAGGCAGCAGAGGGGACACCCTTGAGCTGAGGAGAGGCTCCTGCCCAATTGTCACTGCAGCATGGGGAGGTGGTGAGGGCCGGCAGGTGGGCAGTCTGGAAGGCCATGTTGGGGAGTCTGGACTTGAGCCTCTGTGAACCAGAGATTACGGACTTATGCCCCCATGAGCCAGGTGGGCATTTCTGGGAAGGGAAGTAAGGGCAACCTTCTTGGTGGAAGCTGTGGGGTTGCCAGGATGGGGCTTCTTGCACTAGCTCCTCTGTGCTTTCCTTGGTCTGTGCCCACTGAGGAAGTCATGCCAGGCCTCAGCTGCCCTTCTGGATCACTGCAGAGCCTGGGCGTGGAGACCCAGCTGTCTGGCCTCACCCTGCCGTGCAGACCTGGCATGGAGGGGGTGGGGCGTGATCACTAGTCATGGGTGCCACGAAGTTCTTTGCCTTGGGACAGCCTGTAGTCACAGTGGTCCTGGCTGAAGTTCAAGGATTTTGTGGGAAAGAGACTGAGCCTTTAAAGTTGGGGTTGGGGTTCTGCCACCTACCTCACAAGCACAAAGACCCGAGTTCGATCCCTGGTGCCAAAAAATAAAAAATAAAGTTAGGGTTGGACAGTAGGGGACCTTTTCACAGTGACCAGAAAAGAAGCAAAATATCAGACCAGGCCACTGTGGGCTCCTACAGCCCTGGCTTTGGAAAGTAAAGCTGATTAGGCTCATACAGTCTAAGGGATCTGGGCTCTAGGAAGTCAGCACATATTAAGTGCCTGCTGTGTGCAAGGTCGTGGGGAGCTCCCAGGGATATGTGCTCCTAGGAGAGTTCTGGTCCTGAGACAGAACACCCATGAGACAAAGAGCAGGAAGCGACACACGGCTGTGTGCTAAGCTCTGTTAGAAAGACCACAGGTTGTCATAGTTCTGAGGAGGGAAATGTTGCTGGATGTTAAAATAGGCTGAGAAAACTTTTTTTTTTTTGAGACAGGGTCTCACTATGTAGTTGAGACTGACCTGGAGCTCACTGTGTAGCCCAGGCTGGTCTCGAACTCACAGCGATCCTCCTGCCTCTGCTTCCCTGACGGCTGGGATTACAGGCCTGTGCCACCGCGCCCGGCTTGAGAAAACTTTTTGAAGGCAGTGGGACTCGAACTGGGCCTTGAAAGATAGGCAGCGTTACTCAGTATGATTCTCCTGTAAAATAGTAAGCAGTCAGCAATAGCCTAAACATCCGGCCCTAGGAAATGACTTAAATGCATTTGTCAAGCTGTACAATGTCATTTATGTAGCTGTTAACAGTGGTGCATAACATTTCACTGTAAGGTTGAATAAACACCAGCATATTCTCATATGTTCCCAATCTGGAATACAGTGAGATACCAATTACATTCAATATGCGTATATTGGTAGAAGGGAAAAACGGGGGGAAATAAAACAATGCAAATGGGAATTAGAAAATACTATTCTGCATTTTCTAAATGTTCTGTGATGAACATATTACTCAGAAAACTAGACAAGGATAGGTTTTAGGAAAGGACCACCTGCTACTATAGAAGATGCAAATAAAATGTCTGTGAGATGGGCTACCCAAAGCCACAGCCAAGTTCCTACAGAGTGGGAGCTCCCCTGGGAAGGCTTGGGAGCGAGGAGGCCAGTGGCTGCAGGGAGGCACTGACAAGGTGGCAGGGGACCAGCCCACGTTGCTGGTACATTCGGTACATTTTTTTGTTTTTTGTTTTTTTTTTTTGGTACCAGGGATTGAACCCAGGTCCTTGCACTTGTGAGGCAGGAAGCAGAACCACTGAGCTAAATCCCTGGCCCTACATTTGGTGCCTTTTAATCCTTCCCACACTCTTTTGTACTTCCTGGCTCTGAGGACTCCTGTGTGTTTATTTCTAGAAATTTCCCAGCCATTGGCTCTTGGAATGTTACTCTTGCCTATCTCTGAAGTCTCATTTTTCTAGAATCCCTCCTGGGCCCTCCTGTGCTGTTCTCTTTCCTTCTTTGGTATCTCTGCTTGCACACTCTCTCTCTGTGCCACATCTGAGAGATTTCATCAGAACTACCTTCTGTTTCATTGTTTGCTTCTTTGGGTATAATCTGTTGAGACATCCATTGAATTATTAATTTTAGCACTATATTTTTATTTTCAAAAGTTCTCTGTTTGGTTCTTTTCAAAGTCTGATATGAGCGGGGTATAATGGTACATACCTGTAGTTCCAGCTACTTGGGAGGCTGAGGCAGGAGGATTGCTTGAGCTCAGGAGTTGGAGACCAGGTTGGGCAATGCAGTGAAATCCTATCTTAAACAAATGGATAGATAGATACGTCTGATTAACATACTCAGAATTGTCTTCAGATTAAATAGATCTTTTGCTTCTTAGTTAAAAAAAAGAATCTCATTTTGAAGAATATCTTCTTTCTTTCTTTCTTATATTTTCTTTTGTAGTTGTTGGGTTTTTTGGGGTTTTTTTTTGGTACCGGGGATTGAACTTGGGACCATGTGCTTGTGAGGCAGGTGGTAGAACCACTGAGCTAAATCCCTGGCCCTCTTTCTTATATTTTCCATGTTGCCTTTTATATATCTAATCGTTTGACTGTACTTGCTCTTGATCTGTTGCATTCTCCGTGGCAGTCTGTTTCCTGTGTGTAAGTCCGTTGTCCCGTGACTCCTGCTCATGGCAGGTTCTCTGGGTGGACCTTCTATGATTGTGGATCTGTGATCCAGGGTTGAGGGGCTGTGTTGTCTGAGGGTCTCACTTGCTCTGTCACACAAGACCAACCCTAGAAGGATGCTTCTATTCATTTCTCAGCCTTGGGGTTTCTGGATCTTCAGGGAAGTAACTACTTAAACCCGGAGTGATTTCAGAAGCCAGGGGGAGATTTTTGTTGTTTTAAATTTGGTACATAGGCAAAGTCAAAAAGCTTTCTAACCACTGTTGCAGAAAGTAGTCCACAGTCCCAGCTTTCTGCAGTCTTGGCTTCAGCTTCCCGCCTCAAGCAAGCCTAGGATTGTGTTCTTGATCATCCCTACCCACCCAGTACTAAGGAGTGAACCCAGGGCCTTTGTACTGAGCTACATCCCCAGCCCTATTTTAGTTTTTGAGATAAGGTCTCTCCA